TTAATTGATTATTCTATTTTTTATTAATATTAGAGCCCAACATTATTCGAACGAATGCGCATTGCTGAAGATTACTGTCAACCTACTTGTATAAAATGTGATTGAAGGCAAAACACGATTATTAGTGCCTAAAATATTAAGTATCATGAGTTGCTACGTATAAATATTTAATTAATCTTTGATGTTAAGGCTTTTTGTCCAAAACGGAGTAGCTATATATTTAAATATAGATGCTACAATTGTTCAGCTTGAAAGTTGGCAGCACCCTTATATATATAGTTATATAGGTAGAAGTTGCAGACGATGCAAAGAAGAAGTGGACGTCGTGCTTAATATTTTCGTTTTATCAGCTCGTTGCTCGGTGAAAAATATTTCGGTTATAGTCAATTTATTAATCGATATTGCATGATTAATCGGTTATCACTCGTTGTACCTGCCAAAATATTGGCTCACAAAGTGCAAGTATGGGATTATTTCAGCTGGACGTCGAATAACCTGCAAATATCAGATAAGTAAAAAAGCCTTTTGCTTGTTTCACTGAGCATTATTACTCAGCATTAATTGCATAAATGTAATGTGAACCAACGAATCACAGTAAATAAACATTTATTTGATTTTTAACATCATTTTTCATACTTTTACAATTTTGAAAACCTTTATACTTCGTTTTCCTTTCCATTATACATTTATCAAGAGCTTTTGAGCATAGGTACTTTGTATAAACGTTTACTTTTAGGTTTTATTTCAAGACGACAGGATGTCATGTCAGCGGATTCGTTTGGCTGCTCATTGGGACTCGCCTCCTTTTTAATGGTAATTTTATGAATAATTAGATACCACATCGCCCCTGACAGTATACATTCCAGAAGAGGTAATGAGCTCCAGCTTACAAGCTTGTTCATAATAGGGGAGTTTGTGTAACCGCTCGAAGCTTTCATTTGGTAATAGCACCAGGAAAAATAATGTGACGCAGTTCATGGATTGCGATGCAGTGCAAACAAAGGCCATTGATAACCGCCAAAGGCAAGAGGTTCCCCCAGGTTATCTGTACATCGAAAAATTTACTCCAAAACTTTGCTCGACAACTGAGTAAGTAATATTTTTTAAAAGCTACCAGTTTTCTGTGCAGATGCACATAAACGGTGCTCTTACATTTATTCCTAAAGATGGTTATATTTTGTTCTGGAATTATGCAATTCATATTTCCAGGGTTCAAAGTCTCGGAGGCACTCGACTAACATTGAGAGGTAGCCTCGATAATAATTTTTCAACTTCGACATCGCACTTGTAATAATCGTCACTTAACGATATTAGCACGTCATATTTCGTCATGTTCATTGTTATTTTTCAATGTTATGGGTACACGTTCATACGCTATTCGAATGACAGATCGTCTAATTTTACAGTTCCTCGGGCTTCGCATTTCCGTACAGGTGATTTGCCCTACAACCTCTCTGATAGTCAGCGAAATCAACAGCCATCCAAATAGCATCGTGCAAAGATATGTATTCAGCCAGTGTCTACTTACCATTCTGACTTGAGAAGGCAGTATAAAGTGATGTTTTCCAGCTTCTATCGGATACTCTGATCATTACTTTCTCCTTCTGATCATCAGTAAGGTGCTCGATGTCATGGTTATTTTTAGTTTTCTCTCTAGGCATCTTCTACATTCATCCCAATGGACTTTTAGTGCGTCCAGAGTACACTCGTGCGTGCAGTGAAATTGTCTCGCTAAGCAATTGATAAGCAATCACTCGGAGCTTCCAGTGATATTAACCGGGGAGATCGAGATAATGAAATTACACCTCGATTCTTTTATTCAACATAAAGCGCACTCTGCACTAGGATCAATTCCTACAGCGTTACGTGCCCAACGTTTGATGTACTTTGTAAAATGTACGATTTTTTTGGAATTATAATTTTCCTCTCATCTTGGGGCTTTGTCTTTATATTGAGCTGAACTTGTTAAATTTTATTTTCCTGTCGATCGAGTCCATAAATCTCCTCGGAAGCTTTGATATTATTTAGGATAGTTTAATAACATTCAAAGGATGGGAGAGGATATGAGTTAATGACACGTACTTACAATTCTAATACCGCTCCGCATTCGCCCCGACATTATGTCCTGTGGGATGGGGAAACCACTATCGAAAAACTCATCCCCGGAATGGCCGGTGCATTGCCTGAGTCATGTCCTGGTGTCTACGTATTAACACCTGGACTTGACTCTCGCTTACCTCCTGCTAACGTTTTCCCTGACAGTAGAAAGTCAACCAAACCGCAAAGTTAAACAACAATTGACAAAGGCATGACTTTAACGGTCCCCATCCACTTATTAACCGTACTCCACGTTTTTTACGTTTTATGTGCTATAACGTATACTTTAAAATCTTATTTTTGTAAATAATTTTTCAAGATAAGATTATAATTTACGATTAGAAACAAATCACATAGTGTCGTCAAAAAATTTTGAGAATGTTAACTATTTTACTGTTTTAATATTTACTACGATTTCACGAATTCTCCATCCAAAATTATTTAACTAAATGTACTATTCAAATTATAGAAATCAAGAATAATTAAATAATTTTAAACCTTTAGTTTAAAGTATTTATCGTTCAAAATTTTTATAACTACTTAGTTATTTTCCGAAATACCAATTTTTCATTTACCCCCTCGTCACGAATCTCGAGCAATCACAGAATTAATAAAAAGGCATATGTGCAAATGTAACGATACATTCAACCCTTTGAGATACGCATTTTTAATACAATGGCATGTCTGAGTTGACATATACTTCGTGCTTATAAAAACTGGTATACATTACACCTCGTCAATAAATCATTTGTTTGTTTACTATTGTTTGTTATTGAAAATATTATAGTTTAGAGGACTTTATTATAATCCGTATAAATTAATAAAAAAAATTAATACAAATGACTGTTTTAACGGTGACATAGTAGCATTTTTTAAATTTCTGCTGTGCAAAAAAAGTTATACAATTAAAAATATAATTATTTATAGTAACAATACTAATAATAATAATTATTATTAGTATTAATACCAAACACACTGACAATACGTTTCAGCTATTTACTAATATCACACTATTGATGTATTACGAAGTATACTTTCATAATATATGCATCACGAAACATGTAAAATTCCTAATTTCACTCGTATTTATTTTTCAAGTGCAACAAGTAGATAACTATAAAAAGTGAACGCATTGTATATAATACCTGATTATAATACTTAATTATCTTTTGTTATCTTCTAATTCACAGCTGTATCCAGTTCTCTTTGCATTCCTCACTTCGAAAACTCAAATGGCTTATGAAGCTTTGTTTTGCGCGGTGAAGGAGACCTTTCCGCTCTTTATTCCTGAATCTGCGATGTCCGACTTCGAAGTAGGGATGCAAAATGCTATCAGGATTGTTTTTAATATACGTGTGTACGGTTGTCTATTTCATCTAGCACAGGTACGTTGAGTATTTAGAGAAGTCAGAAACGGGAATTCAGTTTTGTGTATAACAAAATGGTTTTTTATTCATCGAAAATAAAAAATAATTTTAGATACTTAATGTAATTTTACTTTTTTCATGGTATCTATTAGGAAATTTTTTTTTGTCATGCGTAAATAACTCAAAATAAATGTATATTATGCAGGCGCTTTGGAAAAATGCAGGTCTAAAAGGAATCGCAACTCGGTACAATAAGAGGGACTGCCCACATGAACACAAAATGTTTAAAAAAATCGTGGCCTTGTCTCTCTTACCTGAACATTTAATAAGAAGAGGATTTACCTTGTTGACAGAAGAATGTCATCAAAAATTTGGGTTAAAATTCAATAAATTTCTGTCTTACTATGAGGACCAATGGTTAACCAAAATAGGTCCAAAAAATTTTTGTGTATACAGGCTATCGTCGAGGACTAATAATCATAAGGAGGCATATCACAGCCGTTTGAGCTCTATGATGGGATCTCAACCAGATGTAACACATTTTGCTGGTAATTAATAATTACGCTTCTTA